TAAAAACAGTGTACTAGTGTAGTTTTACTGAATAAGAAACAAAATGTGAAACTTAATTTACCAACATAATTAAAACATCAACTATTATTTTGTTATTATACTGTTCAGTGAGTTTATATGTATGACTGACAGAAAAAATGTAATGAATTATATTTTTTATGAAGTCCTTATAGAATGGTTTGAGAGAACTACACATGAGATATTACACTTACATCTAAAATGTTTAAAATCCTGTGCTATTATCCTGTAATGAAAAGTGAGGAAAACAATCTACTTACAGGAAATATACAATAAAAATTATTTTAATCCGATGAAAGTAAAAAATGAAAAGTGTTTCATAAATTGTTCGTTTACAATATGAGTTCAGTGTTTCATGAAATAGATTATTGAACTAATTCTAATTGATTTCTCCATTTAGTATAAGCATTTTTTTTATTTTGTTTATTTACACTTTTTTTCTCTGTTAATTGGAATAACTATTGAGGTGTTTTGATTGTGTGATGATTATTAAATACATTTCATTGTAAAATATCTATTTTAATTATAATAAGCATGCATGTCGTTCATCGAAATTAATTTAATGAAATTAAGTGAATAAATTTCCCATTTTGTTCTATTTATAAGCACCCATATTCTATCAGTTTTCTTGATTTCTTATTTGTAATTAAAAAATTACACGTTATTCAACTAAAATATAGGCGAAGTGAAACTAGTGTTATATCTGTTCAGGACTGTCAAATATGTATGGTCAATACTCCTGCTTCAGGATGGAAGGGAAAATTGTTCACTCTGAGGATGATGTGAGAAATGTATTCACTTTGAGGGGCGAGAATTTTGTTCATTCTGTGGATAATGCAGGAACTTTGTTGATTTTGAGGAAAGTACAATATTTTTTTTGTGCACAATGAGGATATTGTGAAACTTTGAGGATACAATTAGGCCCCTGTCTCTGAGAAACGCCAGCTCGCCAGTGAAAACAGTAGTTTTAAACTCGTTATTGAATTCATGAATTTTTTTTTCAATAGTAAACGATGATAATTAACAGTTCATGAAGTTGAACTTTGTGAAAATAATTAAAATCATGAATTATGAGTCTTTCATGAACAGTAGTTTATAAACCAAAATTGTTTATGAACAATTCATGAGCTAACTATTTGTAAATAGTTTTGATTTTTCATAAATAATACTTTTTAATTTATGAACTGTTAATGAACCATTTATGAGCATTCATGAGTTCATGAACTATGTAAAGGGCTAGTGTGAGGGGGTTTGGGTGCATGATTGAGCTGTGAATGAAGGAACCATTTTGTGAATGTTCACATATGAGATACTAACTGTATCCTCTATGTGTGTACCAATAGTTTTACCAGCAACAGGTAGCAATCACGACTTGATCTTCAGGGTACGACAGAAGTATGAATTGCATAGATATATTATTTTTTACGCAACTGAAGAAATTAATCAAGTCCTGGTGGTTTGCAGTTGACTGTAAAAAACAAAGGTGAAAATCTGCAGGTGTGCTTTAAAATTGTTCATTAGTGAAGTCATACCTGAGATCAGACAAAGACGTGTGTTGTAATCAGCATCCGTCTTTATCAGGTGGGATAACGCCATTGATGTAGAGTCAATGGCACAGGCATTCCTACAGAGTTCTCACTCAGGTACCTCATACTATCTGTATTTACAGGTGAGATACTTTCTGTATTTACAGGTGAGATACTATCTGTATTAACAAGTGAGATACTACCTGTATTTACAGGTGAGATACTATCTGTATTTACAGGTGAGATACTTTCTGCATTAACAGGTGATATACTTACTGTATTTACAGGTGAGATACAGTCTGTATTTACAGGTGAGAATATACAGAGACATTAAACCCCTACTCCAAATATTCTCTCTTTTAATAGTTTTATGTGGACTGGAATATTTTTAGAAAGTCTACCCTGCCATCTCTGGTAGCTAGCATTAGTTTGTATTTATAGCTTGTAATGTTTATAGCCTACAACACTTCTGTGTTCCTCCTCCTTATATTGTGTACAGGGACATACCTGGATGTACCAGGACAGGTGTGAGATATATAATCTTGTCCCTCCCTCAGCCAGCTGATTGTTATCCCCATATACCTGTATAGGTACAAGTGTCCCCTCCTTTACCTGCACTTTCTTGCAGTGCCACTACAGGTATGTGTGCCTGATGAGCTATGTATGCAGATGAGGGCCTATCAAGGCCAGGTGAGAAGAGTGACAGGTAGCCCGGGGTCAATGATGTGATCACCATCAGTATTGTGTGGTATGTCCAGTAGGTCAGACCTGTACAGGTAGGTCCAACACCATGGACATCTAAACATGTGTTCTCTAGCCCATCTCTCCTCACTAACTGGACGTAATCTCTGGACAGTAAACTCAGGACATTCCGCCATTCTTGGAGGCTATTTGTGAACCATGACAGTGGAAGGATGTGAGTACGGTGTAAATAGATACAGCCAACTTGTGTTTTATGTATGGTGGCCGTCAATGGGCAGTGTGTCAGCCTCTCGCAGCGAAGAGTATGTCAGGGTCGGGCTCTAGTAGCAGACACTACAACCAAGGTGTGGGTCTGACCCTAAAAGTGCTACAATGTCTGGCAGACAAACAACTTAGACACTTGTCAATGGTCATTTTCATTGGTAATCTTTAGAGATTCAGGTCACCACGTGATCAATAGCGATTCTCTGTAGAGTTTATTTGTAACTTCTGTTACACTTATAAAGTGTTTGTCAATACAGTAACACTTGACATTGTTCTTACCATAGCTTGTTTCAGTAAAGTATTTACGTGTGGTATGGTATATGTGTGGTGTGGTAAGGTATATTTTACCATAGCTTGTTTCAGTAAAGTATTTACGTGTGGTATGGTATACGTGTGGTGTGGTATGGTATATTTTACCATAGCTTGTTTCAGTAAAGTATTTATGTGTGGTGTGGTATGCGTGTGGTGTGGTATGGTATATTTTACCATAGCTTGTTTCAGTAAAGTATTTACGTGTGGTGTGGTATGGTATATTTTACCATAGTTTGTTTGAGTAAAGTATTTGTGTGTGGTATGGTATACGTGTGGTATGGTATACATGTGGTGTGGTATACATGTGGTGTGGTATGGTATATTTTACCATAGCTTGTTCAGACAGTATTTGCGTGTGTATGGTATACCATTTCAGACAAACTCCTTTTATGTGCAATATGTTTTATAAGAAATAACATTTCTGCCCAGAAAATATCAACCTTGACAGCTATCATAATTATTATTCAGGATATTTCAATTGATTAGACAAAGTTTGATGTACCTGGTTGTCTGACTAGCGTGGTATGTCAGTATCACCTGTGTGTAGTAGACCTAGACTGGTAGATTACTTATATTGGTTACTATCTGGAGATGAGAAGGTCCCAGGTTCAAACCTTAACTTTAACTGTAATCATCTGTTTATTTTTCGCAAAAAGGGGTAAAAACCAAATCTCATTTTAAAAATCCAATGTTATGTCAGCGTAATTAAATGACAATCAATAGTGTTACTCATTCAAAAAAAAAAACATTTTAACTGTCATTTTAAAATGGATTTGTTTTTAAATTATCTAAGCCTGTATTTTTTTTTATAACAGTGATTTTATATGATAGATGGCGCCTGTTGTTATAAATTACACTGAAGGACACTCAAAAGGTCATTATGTGGTCATCTATTAATTATGCTAGGGAATGCTACATTTATGTACTAACGTATGTGTCCTCTACTGTTCTAGAGGTCATCTAATGTCCAGTCCAGACTGTCCAGCTCGTTTTTACGTTTGGTTTCATCAAACTTGTAAAACTAAAAAACCTTCTGCCATAATGTGAAGTTATCTTCTTTGTGAGTAAATATAACAACTAATTATATTAAAGTTATACAAAATTTCTAAGACTTTTTTACCCCAAAGGGCCCAAACATAACAAATATTTTAGGCTTTTTCCATAATAGTTTGGATACTTATGTCCTGGAGAATTAGAGATGTATAGGGAAAAAAGGATAAAATTTTGTAACTTTTCGGTTGACCAGTCAGTTGTCCAGCCCAACCAGGCTAAAGGTGGTGACTACTAGCTTGACCACTCACATTATTCTGGACACTGGATGGTCATTATATGGTCACCTATTAATTGTGTCCTGGTATCTTACACTTGACCGGTCCCAGGCTAACTATAGCTGACCTTTATTGACCAAATGAATTCACATAAAAGATGCCCGAGAGATTTCCTTTGTCCCAGATAAATTAAGTCCCGGGCCCATGTGAAATAAGTTTGTATTGTGTTTAGGGGTGTTTAGTTGACCGGTGGAGTTAGTGACAGTGTTCTCAGGTACAAATTAATCAAACACTATAAGCCTACCTGTACTGATCAGGATGTATGTAAATCTCTCTTGCATGTACAACTCACAGTAATGCTCGACAAAGTCAATACTTTCAATTAGAAGCTCATGAAAATTGCATCTGTTGCATGGTGTAATTATTGAATTTAATGTAACATTTTCTCACATCAGAGCTTTCACATTTATCTGAAAATATTAATGTTTCATGACATAGTTTTTATTATTTTTGCAACATCATTATTGAATATTCATGTAATTATGCCTGAACACGACCCCGTGTTACCTGTATAATTAACAACACTTTGTTTATAGTATTGTTCCGTCACTGCTGTCCTGTAATAGAGGCCTTGGATCTCTACTTGTCAGGTGTACATTATGTATATGTGTATAAATCACTGACTTTGCATTCATTTTCATCTCTAGTGTATGTATTGATTGCCTGATTACAGTGAAATAATTTTACACCTCACCAATCGGAACATGCAAAGACTAAAAGACTGTTATAATTTACAATTACCATGTCGGAACAGGTACAGTGCTGTTTTTACATCTCTTAAAGACATCATCAACACAGTCTGTGTTACATTTCAGTCAGAGATTTACAAATACTTTCTTTCTCATTACAGATGAAAACTATGACAGAATAGAGGAAAAGAAATGAAGAGTAATGCAGCATTATGGACTTTGAGCCCTTAAGTCCTTCCCCTGGGACCCAGCCCAGCCCCGATATGGCACTCACTCTTACCTCAGCCCCTAACTCCTATGGGGGCAAGCTTTCCCCCATCAGCAAGTACCACATAGAACAAGGATCAGAATCTGGCATACTATTTAATTCCAAGAGCCTAGGTGAATCAGACACTGCTAATCTAAGTTTAAAGTTCAAGTTGCCAGTTCCAGGAAATAACGAAACGACCAATGGATCTGGATCAGCAGAGTCTGGCATGGAGTCTTCAGACTCGATATCCAGTGCCTCCCCCACAGGGAAGGAAGAAGAGGAAATGAATGAGGAGGAAGAAGAAGAAAGTTTGGTGAAGGACGATGAGCCTGTTGACTGTGCTAACTGTGACAATGGTTACCCTTCCTTACAGTTGTACATGGAACACAAATGTGCGGGGTCCGATCAGTCACCATTCAGGAGGAGAACCTCACGAGAAAGAACAAAACTCTCTTCAAGTAATAATGTAGACGATGACTTCAGTGATGGCGAGAGTTTTGACGGCAAAATTGTGTATAATTCTGATGGATCTGCTTATATAATTGAGGGTGGAGACTCGGATCTGAGTGATCTCGATTCCATAATAGACTTGCCGCATCAGGAAGGTATTATCATAGACAGGAAAGGTAGTGACATTCACTCACAAGTCTCTGCTTTCCCTTATGTTGCTAACGCTTTCTTCGTTCCTAGAAATCCAGCTTCAGTGTTGAACAGTATTTATAGTGCTCCCTCGTCCCATCCCTACCCCAACCAGGCCCCAATGATGTTCAGTTACCGTGTGTACGACGTCCGTTCAGGGAAAACAAAGACAGACAAGGCTGATAGTGATAGGGATAGCAGTGTGACTGCTGATAGGTTATCTACCTCAGACGCAAGTAAGGGTTGGACATCGGTCCCAACAAAACCTATTCTCATGTGTTTTATATGTAAACTGTCCTTTGGTTACGCAAAGTCTTTCACAGCGCACGCTGAAACTGAGCATTCAATGACACTTAACAGTGAAGAGGTGACAATCATGTCTCAGAAAAATTCATCCGCCATTATACAATGTGTTGGCAAGGAGAAAGAACCCCTCATGTCATTCTTGGAGCCCAAACCTGGGAAATCACTTCCATCTAATGAAGCCCCTTCTCCTCCCCAAGCCAAACCTTCTTCACAAGAGTTGTTCTCACCCACAAACATGTTGTGTTCCAGCTACCCCAGTAGCCTGAAAGATACAACCTCTGTCAGTTTTGTGTACTCCAAGCCAAAGCTTTCTGACAACCTTATATCTAACTCAAGTCCACTGATGATGCAGTTGAAATCTGAGAAATTACACGATCCTAGTACTCAGGGATTATCTGACTCCAGGAGGTCGGAGGTCGCAGGGTGCAGTGCCAAGTCAGGGGTAAACCATGGTGCTATGCTGGACTGTGCTAGTAGTGTTCATAGTCAGGGGAAAAACTATACCAACTCTGTATGTAACCTCAGTGAAACCTCAGGAATCACAGAACATAGTGGGGGGTCTGAATTTGACCATGAAACATCTTCAGTGAAGGACGTTTCACCTCCGCGTGAGGAGAACATTTACTCGAGTCCTAACAATCGCAGACAAAGTCTAGACATGTCGTCTTCTAGTGCTTCCTATACTGTGCCATCTCTTACCATGTCATTGCCCATGGCAACCAGCCACCCGTCATCATCAGTGTTTCTAGGGGTGTGCGAGGATCACCCACAGGGGCGTGCCCAGGGCGTGGAATGCCCCAAGTGTGACATGATTCTGAGCTCTTCTCAATCGCTCGGCGGTCACATGACCATGATGCATTCTCGTAATTCGTGCAAGACACTCAAGTGTCCAAAATGTAACTGGCATTACAAGTATCAGGAGACACTTGAGATCCACATGAAAGAAAAGCACCCGGATAATGACCAGCAATGTATCTACTGTATGACAAACCAGTCACACCCTCGCCTGGCCCGTGGGGAGAGTTACTCTTGTGGCTACAAACCGTATCGCTGTGAGGTATGTAACTACAGCACAACTACCAAGGGAAACCTCAGCATACACATGCAGTCAGACAAACACCTCAACAATGTACAGGAGCTGGCAAACGGGGGTGAGGTCAAAATGCCACCCCAGCAGCCCATTCAAACTGAGGCTGCAGTACAACAGATGAAGAAGAACAAACCCAAACCAACGTGGAAATGTGATGTCTGTAACTACGAAACGAATGTGGCGCGGAATCTCCGGATACACATGACCAGCGAGAAGCACACGCACAACATGATGGTTCTTCAGCAAAACATGAAACATATGCAACGTGACATGCAGATCCAACAACTGAACCAGTTGATGCTCTTGCAGAATGATCCCTCATTCCTGGCCGGCATGTCATCTCCTATGACCTCCCAAGGGAACATTCCCTTTGGCTATGACCAGAGCATGATGATGGCAAATATGCAAGGACCTTATGGAGAAATCCCAATGGACCTGCGAAAAGAAAATGGGGGTATGGGCGTAGCTTTTGACCCTCAGACCCCAGACGCTGCAAGAATGTATTCCTGCTGTGTTTGTAACTCCTACGCAACTGACTCCCTTGAATCTCTGCACCAGCATTTACAGCTTGACCGCACCAAGCAGCGTGAGCAGGAAAACATCAGTGTGTCCCAGGGTACTTACATGTGTAGTCTGTGTACCTACAAGACCAATCTGAAGGCCAACTTCCAGCTCCACTGCAAGACGGACAAACATTTGCAGCGACTTCAGCTCGTCAACCACATCAAGGAGGGCGGGGCCAGTAATGAGTGGCGACTCAAGTACCTAAATGTCAGTAACCCAGTACAGGTCCGCTGTAACTCATGTGACTACTATACCAACAGTATCCACAAGTTGCAGATCCACACAGGTAATCCACGCCATGAGAGCAATGCCCAGCTCTTCGTCCACCTCCAGATGTGTGAGTCAAAACTCAACGCCAAGTCCAAGTACTACTACTGCAGTCTGTGTAAATTCTCCACCCGCGCCAAACTCAACCTCATCCAGCATGTCCGATCTCTCCGCCACCTGCGCAGTGAGGGCATCAAACAGATGCAGATGAAAGAGGACGGTCAGGTGGACATCGACCCCGGTGAAATCTACATGGTCAAGGAGTATGACGAGGCCAAAGACAAAATCGTGTTTGATGATGAAGGTATGTTTGTAATATCCCTGGATTTGTTCAAGTATAGATGTTCAAAGCGTCTCGCGTGTTCAGATTTCTTTGTTTGATGTTCATGTAAATTATTTCTGATATACAGACGAGAGTCACATGGTCGTGATAGAAAGTGACCAGTGTCCAAGTTTTGACATTTGTATGGCCCACAATTTGTATCTAAGAAAAGTTTACTCAAATTAACAACCAAAATCCTTTTTGTTCAATATCTGATTTGTATAGCTTTGAACACCTGTACTTACCATGTATACAGATGGTAAATACTGCTAACACTAGATCTTTGCTCGTTATTATTTTTACCTTAAACTGTTTGAGGTTTGATATCTTCAGTATTGACAAACACTTATTCCTATAAAAGTGGAATACTCCTAGAAGATGGATTAATTATAATGTAGAATATTCTGTGATCTATCACTGTACAAGGTAAAATGTTTGTAAAATGTAGATATATTATATGGTAGATTGGTCCTAAATTATAAACATGTGAACTGGTACAATATTCCTAAATTATAAACATGTGAAATGGTAGAATATCCATAAATTATAAACATGTGAAATGGTAGAATATTCCTTGAATGTAATTTAATTATAAGGCAGAATTTTACTAAAATTTAATTATATTATAAGGTAGAATATTCCTAGAATGTAGATTTATTATATATGTAAATATTTCTAGAATGTAATTCTATTATAAGGAAAAATATTACTAGAATGTAATTCAATTATATGGTAGAATATTTCTAGAATGTAATTCAGTTATAAGGTAGAATACTTTTAGAATGTAATTCTTTTATAAAGTAGAATATTACTAGAATATAGATTTATTATAGGGTAGAATATTTCTAGAAAGGAAGCATGCTGGGGTTCTAATGTGGGAGGAGTGGAAGCATTATATAGTGGAAGTATCTGTTAATTCTGCTTACTTATACTCTAGTATCTGTTACCTGTATTTATGCGTTTCTATTGCCTATTTACAAGTTTCTGTTACCTGTATTTGCAAAAATTGTCTGTATTTACAAAGATCAATTAACCGTATTTGTTTGTAAAATTACCTGTAATTACAAGACTGTACCTGTTACCCTTATTTATACCTAGTTGTGCAGATTGAATTAATTGAATCACACATTCAACATAAACCTTTTATGAATGACAGCTTTCAAAAACAGCATCAGTTTAAAAAAGACATGTTTAGATTAAAAAAGGTCGCCATCTTACACAAAAAATGAAAGTGAACATGATTTTGCCTCGATTTGTCAAATATAAAAAACATACACAGTACTGTGTACAACTGGCTGTACATACTGTTGTGTTATTGGGAAACAGTGTGATGTTTGTGTAGAGATAACCATATACATTGGAACTCAAGTCATCATCAGACATCTTCCTAAGTGATTCAACTTTTTGTTTAAATTTTTAAAATCTTTTAAAAAAAAAAAAAAAAAAGTGGCGTTTCTTAAGTTCCACTGTATTAAAATATATATCAGTTGTTTCCAAAAATGAATTTATTAGAGAGACTAAGGTAAGTAGGTGATCATATTTTTTGATAAATTACGGTAAGTAAAATTGAAAAGCCAGAAATAATTAACACTATAATGGAGTATTTAAATGTGTGTACTGTTGTCAATAGGGCTTTATAGCTTAATGGGCCCATCACTAATCAATGAAGTAAAAACAATATATATTGAAGTTTGCTGTAAGCCTTCATTCTACCATAAATAATCATGTCTGTCGCTATAACAACCATCGAGATTTTTTTTTTATTACGGACAGAGAAGACTAATTATTTCCAAAACCAACTCTTCTTCTGATTTTGCAAATGCCCCAAAAAATCCATTAAGTTTTTTGCAGTGGACAGTGCAATATTTTCTTTGTTGGGAAATATTTTGATGAGAATGCATGTCACGGAAGGAAAATGTAGCCGGCACGCATTACATATGTGCATAGTTTCACATACATTTTTTTGTCTAATTACAGTTTGTATTTACCGCATCTGGTTTTGTTGTTTACAGCTCAACATAAACAAAACACAATTACCTAAAGCTTTTCATTTCTAAACGGATCATACACTTTCCTGGTCATTGTTTGGAAGTCTTATTCTAAAGGTTTTGTCTAACAATAGTGATTACGTAAAACCTTTCTCATTTGAAAACGAGCTCATATTTTATAAGACGTTTCTCTAAAGGTTCATCTTAATAAGTTAATTCTATTTCAGCCTTTGTTGGCTATTCATTAAACGCTGTAGTGGCATGACACATAATAGCCAGCTTATTAATGAGTTTCTTATTGGTTTTAAATTCACATAGAAAATTTGCAATAAAACATAATAATATATGGTTCGACCGTTGGCCTAGTTTTGACTACTGGTGAAAGGTTGTTTGTTTTGTGTCGCACAATACTTTATTCTAAGGGATCAAATAAATTGTTTAGGGGTAAAAGAAATGTTTGATTTTAATCAGCATGGGATATTTATTTGGGCCTACGTTTTGTTTGAACATTGTAATGATGCGAGTTCCTGTCCTGTCACAAAAGGTCTCATTAGTAAATGGTCAGAGCTTTTGAACCATTCTTCGGCATTATAATGTAAGTAAATATGCCCCTAGAATTGTAAAGACAAAGAATGGCTTTATACTTGCCTGCTAGAACAATACCCTCCAGGTATACCAAGGCTGGACTATTTAAGATCGCTATACAAATATGAAACACTAAGATGTTTTAAGGAACAAAAGTCGGTTGATTGGCAAACACTGTAAACAAAAGCGAGAATAAATTTTTGTTGGCGTTCCTAGCTGCCTGAATAGGTCTGTGCTATTTACATTAGGTCTCAGTCCCATTGTTTGGCTGGCTCTAACAAATTTCTTAAATCAATTTGAAATCTCAAGTAGCCTCATTATTAAAAGGAGTTTTATCGTGCTCAGGAGTGGAAAGGATATCCCTTCATAAAGAAAGAGAAAACTCCGGTTGTCATAGGTAACCATTATAACGTAGCTTTGTTTAACTGTTTTCCCCTCTGTGAAAAGGGAGGGGAGAAGTTTCTACTTTTTATCTATTCATATTCTAATATTTGGCTTTCCTTGTTGATAGCGCATTTATGAGTTTGATTGTAATGAATGGGATAGACCACATGACTCATAGGCCATTCTGCAGGCCGGGTTTTGCATGCTTTTATAGACAAATGTATATACATAACAAAGATGAAGAAAATTACATATGAACGAGTTGTTTCACACCGGGAGAACTAGAGCGGGTTAAGTTTTAAGGAGGTGTTGAGGAGATCAGATCGAGAGTGGGGAGAAAGCAAATGGCGATTGGTTTGATTATTAGTGTTACGTACATACAGTGAGAGGCTTCTAATCTTATGTATGACCTCCCGGCTACCACAGCATTCAGCAATTGTGTAGTGTTATAAGGCAATGAATGACGGGCTACTATTGGCGGTACTGGGTTGTTGTGTGGTACATATGTCTGATTGTCATTACCACCGATAAAGAAAAATTAAAATAAGGAAAGTTGTGATGTGTTGGTGACGGTAATGAGTGGAGCAAGTCGTGGCCACGACCAGTGGGCTGAGGAACAGGATGACAGGGACGCTAGCTTCTGCCTCACTCACCGGTAAGGTTATCTCTATCACTTTAACTCTTTATTGTAGGTTTTTTAATGGCAGATATTGAGTTTAGGCTAAACGGACTTCCTTCATGTTCAATGATGCGGTTGGCTGGTGATATATCTACCATAACAGTCTGTCGCTATATATACATAGGTAACACATATATATATGTAAACAGTACATTAAAGATAGAGTACTTTTGTTTAACTGCTCCTGTTTTAGACAGGCACCTACCATTTTCTGCCGGCTGTTGCTGGTTGTCGGGGAAGCCGGTAGTTTAATATCTGATATAAGCGATATATAGATGTTGGATTGCAGTTGTAGACGGTATGTGTGTGTATGCTGACTGTGTCCACATACACACACACTGATAGCTAAAAAAGATGTGGCACAGTGGCTAGGTCTACGCCGCCCGCTGTACTAGAATCACTAGTACTAGCTTCATCTTGATGCTGTGGCACCCACACACAAGTCACAATGATGATTTCCCTGTCTCGCCTATAGCCACTGTGTGCCCTCGAAAAAAGCGACAGCAGACAGATAGGCAGACGCTCATGGAATTGTCTCTCCTGCAAACGATGAGGGTGACGGCCGACTTGTCAATCATTACCTGTTGTTGTCACCACATTGATTTATTTGGCTGTCTGCTTCTTCTTCCATATTTATATTTCACTGTTTCAATATCCTGCTGAGTAGACAAAAATAATTTTTGAAATGTATTTTTTTATATGTATCCAAGCCATATACATTGATATGAAAATGTGACCTTTGAGCTGTTATGGCGGTCATGCAGACACAAAGAATGTGCCTATACCTCACAACCTGCTCCCATCGTCACTGTTTTATCAGCCATATTGATCTGCTGATCAGTGAACGCTTTTGCCTAGCACTACGGGCATGTATGTGATGCATTAATAAACCCATACATAGGAATTTAGATGGAAATTATAAACACATACATATATTGTCTGCGGCCTGTCTAAGGCTTTTCTTGGTTTCTACTGGTTTTAATGAAAGAAAAAGAATTGATAAAAATTCAATATGACATTTTCATTTTATTTTATCCATTCCAAAGCAGACATAGCAAATTGAATGGCTGAAATTGAGATGCTACAATATGGATTGGATATTTTGAAATTATGATTATACTTACAAGAATGTAACATTTGTTTGATTTGGTAACGATTTTTGGAAACGGAAGAAATAGGAATCAATCCGTACATGTGGCATGGAAAGTATTTCTAGGAGAGCCAGATATTACACAATAATTATCATAACAATTACTGATTAGTGTAGCTGTTTGTTTCACATCTTGAAATTACATTGCACTTTTTGTCCCTTAAAGAAAATAGAGTTAGAATTAGGGGTAATCATT